TCCTCCTGTCTCAGCCTCCATGGCGTTGGGAATACAGACGGGTGCCACCACACCTGGTTTTTGGGCTGGCACACCAGGCAGGCACTTAGGCCACTGAGCTATCTCCCCAGCCCTGTTTTGTTTCATATAGCTACCAGGGCTGGGTTTTGGTTCCTTCATCAGGGACTTCCACTGTGTTGCTGCCTTGAAGCCATCAACTATGGATTGAAACCTCTGAAACTGTGAGCCAACGTAAGGCCTCCCCCTTAAGTTATTTGTGTTAGATATTTTGTCCCAGCAACGAAAAACTGATTCGTACAATTGCCAAAAATTCACATCATTCAATGCCAATTATTGTTCCCTTTAGCATCTTGCATTATTAGAATGATAACCGTTGTTGTAACTGATGAATCAGTGTTGATCCATTATAATTAACTAAAACTCTTTGGTTTCCATTTGACTTCAATTTTTTTTTTACACTCTATGGCTTTTCACAAATGCTTAAAGACATGTAACTATCATGATAGCATCATACAGAGTGGCAGTTTCAGTGCCTTAAGAGTTCACAGTACTAAACCTGTTGTGGTTTATATGTCTGGATGTCCTTGCATAAGCCTCATGCAGTCATAAGAGGGGCTTTTGGCAGATGTTTGGATCATGGGGATTTATAGCTGACACACTGTTAGAAAGAAGGGTCTGGTCAGAAGTGGTGGTTCCGGGCCGGCGAGATGGCTCAGTGGAATGGGCACTTCCCTGGCAAGCGCAAGGGCCCGAGTTCAATCCCTGGTTCTGCCAAAAAAAAAAAAAAAAAAAAAAAAAAAAAAAAAAAAGAAAAAAAAAAAAAAAAAAAAAAAAGAAGTGGTGGTTCCCTGGGAGTGTGGCCTGAAGGGTTTATGTTGCTTCTCAGTTCCTCCCTTTATTTTCTGCTTCCTGCATAGCATGCCAAGAGCTGCTTCTCCTCTGCCATCCCTCTGTGCCATGCTGTCCTGACTATACATACCAGGCTCTGGACTGAAACTTCTATCAACTGTGTGCCAAAAGAAAACTTTTCCTCCTTTACTTTGCTGGTTTTAGGTTCTGTGTTTCAGCAATGAGCAAAGTGAGTAAGACTATACTTGTCTGCCCATATCCCAGTCTATCAGTAAGCTTCTTGTTTCCTGTTTGCTTTTTTTAGGGTGTCATATATATATATATATATATATATATATATATATATATATAGCTATAAAAGATATACTATGTTCCTATTGACTTCTTTCATATAACAGTGCATTTGTATAGTTCTATGTCTCTTTGTGGCTTGGTTAGTCATTTCTTTCACCATGAAATAATATGCTATTTTTTGTATGGGCCATGGCTTGTCCATTCATCTATTAAAGGATATCTTGGTTGCTTTCAAAATTTGATAATAATAAAGAAGATGAGTCAGCATTTTTCAACTTACTTGGGTGAATATTAGCAACCGTAATTGCTGGATCATATGGTAGGTGACCCGACCCGCGAGTTAGTCAACGAGGACCCTGGAAGGGGAGTGGGGATGAAATAGGGACAGGAGACATGAGAAATGGAGGCAAGACAAAGGTTCTGATCAAGCCCCGTTTATTCAAGGAAGTCTCAGAGAATTTATAGGAAGCAGGGAAGAAGAGGGAGGAGTGATTATACATCATCAGGTCGCTAGGCACTGGGGGGTGGTCTCTAGAATGGAGATC